AACGCACGAACGTGCTAGGAGGGTGCAGAAACATCTTCTAAATCTAATGCAAGCACGCAGTATGCTAGGTCACTATTTAATAGCAAGTAGTTGTAGTTGTAGTAACTTGTGTTAGTTGTGCTAAGAGAAAATGGCTGGTTCAGTGATATGGCCGGCTCGGTGATAATCTACGTTAGGCATAACGCGCGAACGTGTAAGAAAGAGGTAACGTACCCCACAGGCGAACGACTCAACGGGCGAGCGACTCACTTTTGCCAAGCCCCCACCAAACCTCACCCCATTATGGCCTCTATTAGCCCACTTCGGCGCTGCGCAGGGTAGAACAACCTGTAATATTACTTAGAAACTACTTCTACATCATTCTTGCATGTTCGCGCGTTATGTCCAGTCTTGTTACACTGTCTATAGTGCCTTTAGGTCAGCTTAGCCCTATCAGCGCGCACTTGCTTCTTTACCTTCTTCCTATTACTACGCGCCCTAAACTCCTTTAGAGTTGTTAATTACAGGCCATCCTTAACTGTTAGGGTCCCTTCTACCTAGACTTGCTTTCTCTTGTGCAGTTTCTGGCGTGTGGCAGCCTTGTTAGCTATTTTAAGCTCAGCAATCTGTTTCTCTGCAAGCACAAGCTTGTGCGTGACTATTGCTGCGCCCTTGATGTAATGCTCAAGCGCGCTTGTTGTAGAATTTAGTAAGCTACCCTACATCGGGAAAAGTTTTTCTGTTGTCGAAATCAGGAAATCATGGCATTATACTGTAGGCAATAGTAGGACTTATAGGCCTACAATAGTTATTTAATATGTATTCAATGTCTAGCTAATTTTAAGCTAATAGCTCTAACAGTCCTAACAGCTGTAATAGCTATAATAACTCCTAATCCTGCTATAATAGTAGCTCTGCTTAATAAACTAACCTGTTTTATCAGTGAGCGCCCCACCTCAGTGAGCGCCACACGAACACCAGCGAGGCGTACGCGCAGCGACGTAGCTTAGCACCACAACACAAATTTTGTACTCTTGCAACAGTATAGTATTATTTAGAAGCGTCGCTGTTATTTATATCCTCAATTTCTACCTTGCAGGTGCGAGAGTTGTGCCTAATCTCACCGCAACAGCCGCAGCGTCGCCCTGCGCGCACCCTCTTCGCCAGCTCCTTACCCTCCTCACATCTGCCACCCTCCCTTTCAGCAATTAAGTCTAATACCTCGCCAACTGTTAATGTCTCCTCTGCCTGTACGTAGCGTCTCTTGCAACTTTTACACTTTGTTGCTACTTTAGTAGCAGTATTAAGGCGCACTATCTCTACGCGCATTAACACTATCTTATAAGCCATCTGCTGCGCGCCTTTTGTTAGCTGCCACACCTGCTTATCAAGTGAACTTGCTGGAGACCCTTGATAGATTTTCATCCTGTTTTAAACTAGTGTTAATTGCGCCTCCATTTCTTTAGTGTTGCGTGGTGTTTTTGCCTCCTAAGCGGCGTTGACTTGCTGTGGTGGAGTTTGCGTACGCAGCTGCACATCCAGCTTCAATAACACAGCCTGTAGATCATGTAGAGACAATCCAGCGCCTTAAAACCCTGCGCAAGCATTCTCTCTTGTAAACGCCTTCTTAAAAGCTACTTTAAAGGCTGGTAAGAAGGTCTGTTTGCTGATGTGGTTAATGCAATCACGTGCCAAGGCTGAGATCTGATCACTGTACGCGCGCTTTAATGGCGAGAAACAGGCGACGTCAAGCAGCTGTAGGAGGTGCGACGAGTGTGGAGGCATACAGAGGGCAATAATCTTCTTCTCCTTGCAGCGATCCTGGAAATCTATCAAGCAATGGCTCTTGTGGCCGTTAATAATCAGCAGCCTATACGCTCCTACAGGCCTTGCATGCGTATCAAAGTGATCAAGCCAGGCAAGCGCTAGATTGTTGTTTGTCCAGCCTGTTAGGCTTACTTAAATAACCTAATTGCGTAGGAGGTCCTTAGTAAACTAGTTAGAGATAAGAACCTTGCTAGCAAAGATAAGGAAGGGTGGGATAACACGCCCTATTGCGCTAACGCCCTGTATTAACGTAGTCTACTTGTGATCACTAGGCTGAAGCTTCTTTGCTTTCCTAGGTTTCTCTATGCCTGTTATAATAAGTTATAAAGATATCTTGCCTATTAGGAAGCTAGACTTGTTAAAGTTGTACATGTTGTTGTCTACAATACTGTACTTTGCCTTTATATTCTAAACTAGTGTGAACTAGGGCTTGATAATTGCTGGGTCTTCGCAGAGAGCTTGCTGGTGATTGTATGGACGAGTCTAGCGCGTGCGCAGCTTAGGTGTACGCTTAATAAACCTGTTAACCTAGCATTTACTAACAGGCTCACCGCCGCGGTCGCGCAGCAGTCTATCAGCCATATCTTGTACGTGTAGCTTTGAGGGCGGTACTCCACGTAGGTTCTTGTCAAGTATACGCTGCAGAATCACCTCCTCTTCTAGCTTTGTTAGGCGCTTTGATCTGGGCTTGCAGTCGCGTCTAGAGGGCTTCCTGTCACGTTGTCGTTGTATTGTCCTACAAGGAACGCTGTAGACTGCCTCAGCACGTTGCAGGCTTGTAATCTGGTTGCATTTAATGTTAGAGAGGGCAAGCTGCACGTCAGCTTCAGTATAGGGCTTGTGAGGTTGTGGTTGTTGAGACATTACGCGTTGAGTGTCGCGCATGCGCTTTGCTGGTGTTCGTGGGGCGCTCACTGAGGTGGGGCGCTCACTGATAAAACAGGTTAAGGATAATATTATTAATATAAAAGAAGATAATAATACTGCCCTTAGTTAGACAGCAGGGTTTATAAGGCATAGTCTAGAAACCTAGTGCTTTTAGTATTGCAGTGAAGTTCTTCTGCTAGAGGAGGGGAGAGATGCGCAGGCTGTAAAGTGCCTTATTTACTTGCAGTATTGTGCTAGGCTTCTAATAGCCTTGTGGCATCCTTATGTAGACCTCTCTGTCCATTATAGCATGAACAAACGCGTTAGTAATGTTGTATTGTTTGAGCTCTATATTATAGTGAGCTGCTATAGCTATTATTGTTTAAAAGGATTAGCTAGCAAGTGTAGCTGTGTAGGTGTCTTATAACATAATATTGCGTTATTAATTGCCTCTAACTACTAGTTATGCCTTACACTTTAGTAGTTAATAATGTCTATTAAGCTTATAGGTATATACCTATATACAGTTAAGGATCTATTGTCCTATTAGTCTAATTTTCTAAAGTAGTACTTCTAACTATAATTTTATTTCTTAGTAGCTTATAAGGTGCTCTTACTTAGCTTCTTAAAAGAGTTTACCTATAGGGTAATCCTTAAGCTTAGTTTAGAACATAGGTAGAGGTAGAAGTTAACTTTAATAGGGCTTTAAGCCTTTAGCAAGTATTCTTATTATCTTAGCCTTGTCTATAACTTCTCCTCTGTATATTCTAACATATCTAGCTTAGGTTCCTGCAAGGAATAATGCTGCCTACAGGATAGTAGTTAAGGACGCTTGTTGCGTCAGAGTTGTTTAATCACTAGCTATAATGCCTGCAAGTAGTGCTGCAGGTGGCGGTGTTGATAGAGGGGTAGGATAGCTATCCTGTATCTTCTGTCTGTGATAGTAGCCTAGCAGGTCTGCTTTGTCTTGTGGTGACAGCTCTGCTAGGGCTTTATCCTTATAAAAGGAATCTGTTTCTAGTTACTAGGTAGGCATTAGTAGCTTAATAGATTGCACATATGTTGCTATTTCTTTAAGTGTGTTGTATATAAGGTTCTCTATAAGGTCCTTAATTCTCCTATTAAATACTATGTCTTTGTTAAATATAATATCTTAAGTACTTATTACCTTACTAAGTAATAGTATCTAGATTTAATAGATATTTAATAACTAGTAGCCTACTAGATAGCTAATCTAGGCCTTTAGGTCTAGTTATTAAAGACATAATTTACCTCTATATATATTATCTATTATAGCAAACACTTTATACCTGTATACTCTTAGGTGTGTAAGGTTAGGTTTTTGTAGTAATATTACTATTCTATTACTAAAGGCAACTTGCGTAAAGAATATTTTGTATAGTGTTTTCTAATAGTTTACATAGTTTAGCGTTTAATTGTAGAGGTATACTGCTGCCCTTGTGATTTCTGGCCACAGTTCCTAGGAGAGGTTAGCATTAAGTTGCATTGCGCGAGCTTTCTCCTTGTTTACACCCCCTAAGCGTTCTGCGTTACTGTTCTGTGCTTATATGTCTGGCGCTAAAGGCTCTATAATAATTCCTTGTGTTGCTAGCTATTTTAATATGCCTAGTTTAACTGTAGCTATCTTGTTATCTGCCTTAATAGTCTTAACTAAGATATTGTAGTAATTTTTTAAGAATAGGATAAATATTAATAGTGCCTTAATAATTAACTTTGCTATATAATAATCTATAAAGTAGAGGTCCTACTATAGGCCTAAGAACCTATTAGTAATAAGTATCTAGCTTGTTTCTTTAGTAACTCCTTATACTTTATAGGAGTAGAAGTTAATACTAAGTCTTTCTCTAGGTCTATTATTATTAATTCTTAGTGTGTAGCTAATTTACTGTTGTAATTTAGCTATTCTATAAGTGTTGTATTTAACTATAGTAATGCCTTAGATCTGCACCCCCTAAGTCTGCTAGACAATGTGTTTAATTATAGCAGGACTAGGGTAACTAAGTTACTTGTGCTACTGTATTGCTAAGGCCTTCTATAGTCCTCTCTTAGTGTATGTAGTAATTTTGTGTATATAGTTAGCAGCTAGTAGGGACAGTTTATACTTAAGCACCTACTAGCTAAGCATTTCTAATACTACTCTAATTACTTAGCTATTTACTTGTTAGAGAGTTATTAGGTCTGCTTGTGTGTCCTACTATATGCATCTGTTTTATAGTAGGCAGAAGGACACTAGGTTGCATAGCAGGTCTAGGCAAATTGCCACGTCTGTAAGGGTAACCTTAGTTGTCCTAGCTCCACTCCTTAGGAGTAGATTAATTAATCTATATCCTCTAACTAGCACCTTAGAATTCCTAGCCTATATAAAGTCTCTAGGCAATAGCTGTTAGAACCTATAGACGTAGTTAGGGTTGTTAGTAATATAGCAGGTAGAACCTAAGTTAAGTATAAATAACTTCTATAGTAGATAGTTAGTAGTATCCTGTTAGTTTACTGCGCTAAGTACTACTTTAATATTAGTAATTTCTTAGCCTTCTAGTTAATTATCTAGGATTTCTAGGGTAGGGGTGTGTAAGTGCTTTACTACTAGTGTTCTTAATTAGCTCCTACTTTGTGTGCAAAGTAGCCCTTAAAAGGTAATATCTTTCTTATACTTAAACTTAATAAGTTTAGAAATAATCTTATTTAGTTTCTACTACTTAGGAGCTCTGTCTTAATTAATATAGTAGTAATCCTGTATAGTGTAGCGTTATCTACATACAGGGTATTTTGCTCCCCTAGTAGAAGTAGGCTCTTGATCTAAAGGCCGCTTAAGTGTAGTAGTTTTCCTACCTACTGTATATTAATATTAAGGTCTGCCCTAGTTAGATAGCATGCTTACAGCATGTTAGGCGTCCCCTTTATAGCTCTAGGAGGCTGCACCCCCTTTTGCAAGAAATACTATATTGTTAGCTATAAAGGCCTTATGCTGCCCTAATCTAAGGGGATAATTTATTATTATATACTCTTAGTAGTGTTTTATTATCTCCTTCTAACTTATACTAGATTTAAAGTGTCTACTATCTTAAAAGCTTGTAGCCTATATAGGCATAACCCTGTTTACAGCTATTAGGAAGTCCTTTATTATTATATTTAATTGCAATAATTTAGCAACTTTGTACGTCTCTACTTCTGTAGCTACCTAGTTATACTTAGCTAGCTAGGTATCCTATTATGACGTGCTTCTTATTAGCTTAAGTGCTAAGAGGTAACGTACCTCACGGGTTCGTGCACCACACAGGTTCGTGCACCACTTTTGCCAAGCCCCCACCAAAACCACCCCATTCTGGCGCAAAACAGCCCACTTTGGCCCTGTATAGAGCAATATAACACGAGATATTATTCAGAGTCTACTTCTACTGCTTGCTTACACGTACGCGCGTTATGCCCAGTCTGATTGCACTGTCTGCAGCGCCTTTAAGTTGGCTCACCTCCTTCAGCGCGTACCTGCTTCTTTGCCTTCTTCCCATCACTACGCGCCCTAAACTCCTTTAGAGCAGTTAGACGAGCTCTATCCTTAACTATTAAGGTCCCTTCTGCCTAAACCTGCTTTCTTTTATGCGATCTACGTCGCGTAGCAGCCTCGTTTGCCGCTCAAAGCTCTGCGATCTCCTTTTGCGCCAACACTAGCTTGTGCGCGATAATTGCTGCCCCCTTTAAGACCTTCTTAAAGGCCTCCACCATAGACGTTGGTGAGCTATCTATATGCTTCTAAATCCTTTCCTTAACGAGCGTTAATTGCAACCCTAGTTTAAGGGTATTGCTTAGGGTTTGCGACTGCCAGGACTTAGTGTTAATAGGCAGTAGTAGTGATAGAGTACGCAACTGGACGTTAAGGGCTGTTATAACCTGTTCTAGGTTAAATAGGACTAATCTAGCACCTTAAAACCCTCCTTAGATATTACTAGAAGTAATTGCTGCATTATAGGCGCGTATAAAGCATGGTAGGAACTTAAGTTTTGTGATGTGGGTGATCTAGTTGCGCATAAGATCTTCGGCTTGGCGCCTGTACGCCTTCTTTAAAGGGGCAAAACATCCTACATCAAGAGGCTGCAGGAGGTGCGATGAGTGTGGAGGCATGCAGATAGTAATAATCTTGTTCTCCTTGTAGTACTGCTAGAAATCGAGCGAGTCGTGGCTCTCATGGCTGTTGATAATAAGGAGCCAATAAGCGCCTATAACCCTCCTCTTTGTATACTTATCAAAGTGCTTTAACTACTGCAGCCTAAGCTCATTTGTCGTCCAGCCGTTCTTAGAGACTGCAATAACCTAGTCCTAAGGCAGATTCTCCTCCTTGTACTAGGCAGAGAGGTGATAGTGGCCCTTGAAGATAATGAAGGGTGGAATAGCCTACCCTGTTGCGTTGATGCCCTGGATAACTGTTGTCCACTCCCTATTGCCTTGCTGTATTACCTTTGGCCTTCCTTGTCTCTCTAAAGCTGTAACAACCGCCCCAGTTAATATCTGGCCTATTATGAAGCCTAACTTGTTAAAGTTATACGTGTCTTTATCCTGGATACTATACTTAGCTTTTATGTTGGCTACTAGGCGAAACTAGCCCTAGATAACCTTAGGATCCTTGCAGAGTGCTCTCTTGTAATTGTACTTATGATTAAACTTCATTGTGAACTTAGGGCGGTGCATAACCCACGTACTAGGCTAGTTTAAGCTAACCTGGCCTAGATTGCGCTCTGCGCGTAAGGAATTGGCCATATCAGCTACAGCTGCGAGCCTGGGGGGGAATCCGCGCGAGATGAGGTCAAGTATATGCTTAACAACTACGCCCTCCTTAGTCTTTGTCAGATTCCTTGATTTAGGCCAGCGATCTGCTTGTGGAGTCTGTCCTGCGCGTTGGCGGCTTAGTGTTGTATGAGTGACTTTGTAGATAGCTGCAGCGCGTCGCAAGGAGAGTGTCGCGTCTTGTTTAAGAGCTTGAAGGGCAGTCTGTATCTGACGCTCATTAGAAGGCTCTATCTAGTGTTGTTGTTGAGGCATCACGTATAGAGGTAGAGTTGGTGGGGGCTTGGCAAAAGTGGTGCACGAACCTGTGTGGTGCACGAACCCGTGAGGTACGTTATCTGTCTTAGGCTTATTCTTGTTTAATTTATTTATTAACCCTAATAGTAAGTTGTAGGTCTGTAATCTACTATTATAGTAGTTTCTTAGGAAGACAGCATGTGTGTAGTAGATGTAGTAATATAGTTAATTAGATAAATATAATAATATGCTAAAGGCTTGCTTCCTCCTTCTTATATTTGTGTTAATTATTCTTGTATTGTTTAAGGAGTACTTTGTAGTACTTAAGGTCTTCCTTAAATGCCTTCTAGCCTATTATTAATAGCTTAGTTAGCCTTAATAGTATGTTAGTATTTGCAGCTAGCGCGTAGTTAGTAATAGTTAGAGCCCTTAGCAAGAGTGGCTTTAATAGTAGTAGTGTAGTTGTCTTTAGGTTGATCTTGTCCCAGATGTTGCGCGACAGGCATCTCGCCTGTAGCTGCGCGAGCCAGCTAGTCCAGTCAGCTTGGTCCCTGAGGACTGTTGTTGGGTCGCGGTACGTTGGTTGCGCCATTTCGGTTGCGGCAGTGAGGTTGCGGCAGTGAGGTTGCAGCAGTTTGGTTGCGGCAGTGAGACTCTTAATTGTCAGATGCTCGTACTGTGAGCCAGAGTATATGCTTAACGAGATCTTAGGTAGTATGATAATATATTAATAATTGTGGCGATGGTGTTTCTGCCGTGGCGTCGTGCTGGTTGCTACAGGATTGAAGTGGGGGGGAATTAGCGCTGTTCGCGGCCGCCGGTGTGCGGGCCAATCAGGAGTTGCCAGGTCTCGCTTAATCGACCTGGGAACTGCTGATTGGCTGCACGACAGGTCCCTGCTCGATTGCGCAGATCCGACCTCTCGCCGCTCGCTCTTATCTGACAGCTCTAGTAGCCTAAATATTAGAAAATACAAGAATATTATTTAAGAATAGTAGGTAAACTAAGAATTCTACGCCTAGGTCTGCCTATTCTGCAGTGTGTGCTTGTTAGCAGGTGCTTTGTTGTGTGCTGTTGCAGCTGCTACGTCGTGTGCTGTTGTAGCTGCAGCTGATACATTGTGTGCGGGCGCAGCTGCAGCTGCCATAGTGTGCTGTTGCAACTTCAAAACACAAACCTTTAACAAACAAACCTTTAACACTCTATAACTTGTGTTGTAGTAGGCCTATAATAATAATTTTTTGCTTATTTTAAAGCTACAATTTCGCTCTATCTATACATAAAATTTTGTAATTTTTAAATATTTAATACTAGTGCTAGTAGAACTAAGGGTAGCTATATAACAACATTGCAATATTATTTTAAGTTTATTAAATATAGGCACTTAGTGTTTTAGCTATTAGTAATATTAGTGCGAAATTAGGGCTGTTAGGCGCAAATTAGGGCTGTTAGGGCTGTTAAACAGCTATTACACAACTATGCCACAACTGTCAGCAACAGCCAGTCTGGGCTGGATTTTGAAAAACTTTTCCTGATGTAGTATTTCTAGAATTTGTCTTAAATTAGAGTAGATTGCGACCTAAATTCTAGGGTATTGCTTAGGGTTTACGACTGCTAGGGCTCTTTGTTAACAGGGATTTGTAGTGATAGAGTGTGCAGCTTCACATCAAGGCTGCTTATAACCTGTTCTAGGTTAAATAGGACTAGTCTAGTGCCTTAGAACCCTCCCTAGATATTGCTAGTAGTAATTGCAGCGTTGTAGGCGCGTATAAAGCATGGCAGGAACTTAGTCTTTGTAATATAGTTAATCTAGCTACGCATAAGGTTATTGGCTTAGTGCCTATACGCCTGCTTTAAAGGGGCAAAACAGCCTACATTAAGTGGCTGTAGAAGGTGCGATGAGTGTGGAGGCATACATAAGGTGATAATCTTGTTATTCCTGTAGTATTGCTAGAATTTAAGCAAGTTATAGCTCTTATAACTATTAATAACTAGTAGATAGTAGGTCCTAATAGTACGCTCCTTTGTATGCGCGTTAAAGTGCTTCAACTACTCTAGACTAAGCTTGTTAGTAGTCTAGCTATTCTTAGAGACTGTAATAACCTAGTCTTAGGGCAGACCCTCCTCTTTATACTAGGCAGAGAGGTAATGTCGCGCCTTAAAGATAATAAAGGGTGGTATAGCCCACCCTGCCCTATTAATGCCCTAGATAACTGTTGTCCACTCTTAGTTGCCCTGTTGAATAGACTTTAGCTGTCCACAACGCTCTAAGCCTGTAACAACTGCTCCTGTAGATATCTAGCCTATTATAAAGCCTGTCTTGTCAAAGTTGTACATGTCTTTATCCAGGATGCCATACTTAGCTTTAGTATTCTCCACAAGCTGGAACCAGCCCTGTATAATCTCTAGATCCTCAGAGAGGGCTCACTTGTAGTTGTACTTGCGATTAAACCTTACTTTAAGCTCTAGTTAACGCTTAACAAACGTACTAGGCTAGTTTACGCCAATATAGCCTAGATTGCGCTTAGCGCGCAAAGAATTGGCTATATCAGCCACAGCTGCAAGCCAAGGGGGAAATCCTTGCTCAGCTAGCTAAAGGATGTGATTAACAATTACTAACTCCTTATTCTTGTCTAGGTTCTGTAAGTTAGGTGCAGAACTAGCGCGTGAAGGTCGTCTAGCGCGTTGTTTGTTTAGTGTAGCTTAAGGAACCTTGTAGATAGCTGCAGCGCGCTGCTTAGAGAGATTCGCGTCTTGTTTAAGAGCCTAGAGCGCAAGCTGTATCTGACGTTCTTTTAACGCGTCTAAGTGGTGTTGTTAAGAAGGCATTGGTGTAGGAAGGGTGGTTTGGTGGGGGCTTGGCAAAAGTGAGTCGCTCGCCCGTTGAGTCGTTCGCCCGTGGGGTACGTTAGAAGTAGTTTCTAAATAACATTACAGGCTGTACAACAGTTTGCAGCGCCAATTTAGGTTGTTTTAGGCAATAATAGGGTGGAGTTAAGTAGGGGCTTGGCAAAAGTGGTCCACTCGTCCAGTGGTCCACTTGTCCGTGGGGTATGTTACCTCTTTCTTACACGTTCGCGCGTTATGCCCAGTCTTACTGCACCGTTCACAGCGCCTTTAGGAAAGCTCACCCACTTCAGCGCGCACCTGCTTCTTTGCCTTCTTACTATTACCACGCACCCTAAACTCTTTTAGAGCTGTTTATTGCTATCCCTCTTTAAGTATTAGAGTACCTTCTTTCTTAACCTACTTTCTTTAATATAATTTTTATTATTTACCTACCTTATTAGTAGCTTAAAGCTTAGTAATCTCCTATGGTGCTAACACTAGCTTATGTGTATTTATAGCTACCCCCTTAGAGACCTTCTTAAACGCTTTAACTATAGAGGTAGGTAAGCAATTTATATACCTCTAAATCCTTATCTTTATAAGTGTTAATTTTAACTAAAGTTTAAGAGTATTGCTTAGGGTTTACAACTGCTAGAGCTTATAATTAATAGGTAGTAGTAGTAATAGCGTGCAAAGCTTTATATTAAGGCTGCTTATAACCTATTCTAGGTTAAATAGGACTAGTCTAGCACCTTAAAACCCTTCCTAGATATTCCTAGAAGTATTTGCAGCACTATAGGCGTGTGTAAAGTATAGTAGAAACTCTGTTTTTGTAAAATAGTTAACGTAAATACCAAGCAAGTGAGCCATCGAAGCGAGTAAGCCACCCCACCAAATTTCTATACCCTACAACTATAAATTAACTATGGCTCCACTAAACGTAGCCTTACACGCTTCTTGTAAGACTAATATACACTTTGTAATCTTAGCTCTTAATACAAATTAAATTTAGACTAAAAGGTGCGCTGTAGTAATATTTAAAGTCTCTCGCGCTACCCTCTACTAATAACGCGCTAGCAAACCTGCTAGACGCAATTGCCAGCCTAACTCAAAGAAGCTTACTAAGCAAGAGGAGGAGGTAATAGTAAAGCATATACTGGATCTAGATACACGTGGGTTTTCGCCTACGTACGCAGCTGTACGTGATATGGCTAATAAGCTACTCTTAGCACGTGGTAGCTCTCCTGTAGGCAGAGACTAGCTAAGAAACTTTGTTAAGCGTACAGACAGTCTTAGGACGCGTTTTAATTAAGCATACAATAGGCAGAGAGCTCTATGTAAGGATCTAGCTCTAATTAGGAGCTAGTTTAAGCTTGTAGAGGAGACAAAGGCTAAGTACAGCATCTGCAATAATAACGTTTATAACTTTAACAAGACTAGCTTTATAATAGGCAAAATTACAACTTAACTTGTTATAATAGGGTTAGAAAGAAGAGGCAGACCTAAGGCTATTTAGCTAGGTAATTGTAAGTAGGTGGTAGCAATTGCTGCGATTAAAACCGCTAGCTAGTTAGTCCTACTGTTCCTTATCTTTGCTAGCTAGTATTATC